ATTTGAATAGAATTGAATTGAATCAGAATTTTTAAAAGAATTTTGGTAATCATTTTTGGTGACCATTGATTTGGTATGGACAAAAACACCGATCTCAAAATATTGTCTTTTATGTTCTGTTCCACAGATGAAAGATCATCATATGGTTTGGATCAACATGAGGGTGAGTAAATGATGACAGAATTTCCATTTCCGAGTGAAATATCCCTTTAAGTGGGAAGTGAACAAACACTTTATAGGTCAATAAGGGATTGAACCTGCCGTCTTTTCATTTTGTAGAATTTTAAACCTCTGAGGGACAACCAAAATACAGTAGCTGCATAAATTGGTTGGCCACAAAACACAATGCATTTCCCTTCACATTTTTTACAGTTTGCAGAGTGCTGTTATGTATCTTTGCTGTTTCCATCAGGGTGCTTTTATAATTTGGTTGTAATTTTATCACATGTATAGCAGCATTGCCTGTAACACCATTTATTTAACCTCCATTAGCCCACAAATGATTAATATTATTACATTACTATTCAGAGGATAGACTCTCTAAAACTATCTGTCTTTTTCTTTCTCAGACTTTTCTATAGGGAAAGGCCCTGAAAGGTCATATTAAGACCATCACACATAAATCAATAGCTGTCACAATTGTAGGGTCTCTGAGAGCCCACTCGCCTCAGTGTGCTGCAATCTGGGCCAGCATATTTCACACTCACAGGTGTCACACAAGCACGTCTCAATCGCTATTTTTGAGCTCAGCTCAAAAGGCGAGAGCCCAAGATGAACTCCCATTCACCTTCCCACCAAAAGCACTATCACTGTCAAAGCCAGAGGTGAAACATGAAAAAGCCAACCTCATTCCTGCCAGCCTATAATAGCAGTGGTAAGAAAACATTGGACAGGGTTGTATCTGCACACCTGTGGGAAATCAGGGAGACTCCATTCACAAGCCAAAGCCACACAATGGCATTACACAACACAGCAGCTCTATGAGGTACCCATTAGGCAGGCATTTAGAAAATGGCAGGATAACATTGCATTTTTTTTTTAAATTTTATCTATGATTAGAAAACAGACCGGAAGAGCCCAGTAAATGCTATACCAAGGCTCTGTTGAGGGTAATGGCCAATTGTTAGCCAACAGAACAACTGACTCTAGGTGAAGTATTTTAGCCTACTGTACCTAAGACATGTCATGTGACAGAGCTTTAGAAAAACAATGCTGATATTCAGAACAAAAGGTTAAATGAATGCACGTATATGTGTGAATGTGTGTATAAATGGGTCTTGTATACAGGTTATACAATTATACAATTCATATACCATTTCAACAGTTATATAAACAAGCTAAGACAGAGTAACTTACATTGTACACACAATTTGCCAATGGCAAGTTATAGGGGAGCGCGGGGCACAACCTAACGCTGCATGGGCTAAATGTAACACGGACCTTTTACGTAGTTACTCAGGGTCACGCAGGTTGTGTTTACGCTATTTTTCTCTCGCTGCCATAAGACGGTCTCCTGTGGATTTGTGGAAATTTTTGGTAATATTTTGTGAAGACGCTGGACAAAGAGTGTTTTGACACAATGCAAGTACATTGTTTCATCATAGGTTTTTTTGGTTCCAAATCTAACTTTATATTGCCTCAATCACTGTCAATCATTTTTGGCTCAAACATAGCATTGTTTTGAAACATGTCAGCAATTCCTAGCAACTGTCAGCTAGGCTTAAAATATCTAATACACAGCGGGGTTAGTTGTAGCACAGTGTTACAACTAAGCCGCCAAGTGTACAATGAATTAAATGAAAACAGGGAGCCACACAACTTTTCAAGTTTGAGTATTTATTTATACATTTAACTTCGTTGGACTTTCACAAACAATGCTGGAATTTAAAATGTTTAAATGCATTGTTCTCTTGTTTATTAATTAAAAAATATGGCCTGTTTTTAATGCAATAAACCCTTTACATTTTGATTTTAAGCTCATTTGTATTATTATTATTATTACTGTTATTATTATTAATAATAATAATTTTACATGCAGCTGCCACACACAAATCTAATTCAATTGCACTTAAAATATTGTATGATTTTATTTATTATTATTTATTGCAAAACTGGGAACCCCTTTTCTATGTCTCTATCCATGATATTGATCCATAATAGAAGGATGATTGGATGAGGGATGGATGTATGGATATACATCTATACAGATGCACAAACAATATCAAAAAATAGTACTGAATTATGTGTGTTACACACAAGTGTTACAACTAACCCCTCTGTCTCTTACAATTAACCCCGCATATGGGGTAAGTTGTAACATTTGCACTTCTCTCGCTTTCAGTGCAACTGTACGAAAATGGTAGGTCCTAGAAAAATAAAACTTTAAGTGTTCATTTGTAGCAGAGATGTGTATGTTGCTTGTGTAAAAAAATATTAACTAACCTAATTATTTTTTAATGAATTGAGCCAAAACCAAAATGCGTTAGGTTGTGCCCCGCTCTCCTCTATTGTCTAATGTGGCTCACTAGCAAAATAATGCAGCCAAAGCTGGATCTAGACTATTAGCCTGGAAAGCCATATGAGCAGAGTGATTTAAAAAGTGATGCATGGGAATCATAAAGAGCCATAATTTGTAGAATCAATAATAATTTCATGGTGGTATGGTTGTTTATAATTTATGAAATAAATAAAAAGCAAAAACCAGGAACTGATACACTAAGTGAATACTGAACTGTGACACCAAAGATTCTTAATTGGATTATATAAAAAGTTTTGTGTAGGGAATCGGACACACAGGCTAAGATTTTCTGAAAAGGAGATGAAAAGGAAGCATATGTTTAGAGAACAAGAATTACTTCTAAAATGACAAGTAGACCCTGAACTGAGCAAAGAGGTATAGAGACACTCCATTAATTCCTGAATATGCAAAAGATGCCCCGACTAATTAATAAGATAAAAAGGCACAGGAGCTTTTGCTAGCGTTCCATAAGGTGCTTTATCTTGGGCGGACAGTGTGGCGCATTCTAGCCACAGCCAGAGCAATACAGACAAATCACGCAGAAAATAGCTGCACTTTTGGACTATTTGTGATGCCCATGTTTGATAGTGAATGCAACACTGAATTGCAAATTAATCTCAAACAGCGGTGTATGGCTGTAAAGGGCAGGAATCACCCAAGCAACTGGAGTTATATTTATAGTAGGCTAATAATTATAACACGTGTTGTTACACCTAATGTAAGCAGATATTTGTTTTAAACGGGTCAAATAGCTCTTAAAATAAAACTATTTACTGATTGTCACAGGATAAATATATGAACAATTCCTCTTGTGTTTTTTACGAAGGAAATATCATCATCGGCTGAGCTATCATGCTATGCAAGTATTAAAAAAAAAAAGTTTTTGTATTAGCCTATATATAGTATCATCAAATTGTTGTTAAAGATGAAACGATAGAACTTACACAAAGAAATTTGGTTTATGAAAATGATCAGTGGTATATACTGATTTCCAATGCCCCCTAGTGTGGTAAGAGGCTGGTGTTTAACAGCAAAAGCTGTATGTTCACAAACACTCCACAAGGTAAAACTTTGAAAACCAAGTTTTACTTTAAATGAACTTTATTAAAACCAGCAACGCATGATAATCTGTTAATGACTGATATAGGTTTGAACCTTCATTGTTTTGAACTCTTCATGGCAGTGCTGCTATGTATATAATGTGCACATGCAAACTGTTTGGCTCTTATATACTCTGAGATGGCTTTAAAGGAGAATGAGCCATCACTGTCAAGATAAGGGTGTCTGTTTAGGTAAGGAGGAGCTGCAAAGAGCCCAGTGAAGGACAGATAAAACATCTGCTTTGCACAGAGAGAACATTTCCTCTTAAATTACCTCCCTACCTGACAGAGAAAATGTGATATCTTACTCTCCCTAACTCCCCAAAGCCTGAAATAAAAGCCTCTAACATGATGAGAACAGTTATGAATAGGATCATATGAGACTCTTATCAAGTGTCTGATTACCGTTGCCTGAAAACAAATCTATTTTCTGTCTCCTGGAACATTAATAACACAACTGAACAATTATTCTCGTGCAATATTGCATATAGCACATAGTTTTAAATTAGATATCAAGGTTTTCAAATGTGAAAGTATGAGTTGTGTCGAAATGCTGGACAAACTAGAGAATTATTGTAAATATAATTCAAATAAAGCCAAACATATCTAGGTAACTGAATACACATAGCAGACCATAGAGACAAAGGGTATCAAAAAGCTACTCTGGTTTCCTAAGATGCTTTAATAGAAGTCATAAAATATTCAGCTGGAGTTGTGAGACTTGGTAAACAAAGCATTGCCTGCTTTAATTTAGCAGTTACATAATTAACAGATCTTCATCAAAAGCAACACAATCAAACCTTATTGTTGCTGTAAGCATAGATGTTCAAAACACACTGGTGGGTCTCATTTTGCACGTAATGTGATTTATGGATTGCTCCTTCAAGTTCAACTGTGTAGGCCTATTTAAAATACAACAAAATATTGGGTAATCCACTACTGGTGATAATGTAACAAAGTGTGCAACTGCGTTTATGTTTATGCCAGCGTTTTGTAACTGGAAACTTTCTTTTCTGCAAAGAGAGTACTTTACTTTTTAAATTTTCCAACTGGCACCTGCGTCATGGTCACTAATAGCACTGTCTTAACATGCATTAGTTTAAAACATAAAAACATTTGGAGACTACAGTATCTGCCATTAGTCTATCTTAAATAATGAACACAATAGACATCAACAGCAAGCAAGACTCTTTACGAGGAGGATAAAATCCAACTTGATTCATAAAACTTTGACATGATTTGAATGCACACACCACTGGATAATTGCACCTAACATGCTTCCAGTGCAATCCGGTGATCTCAGTTTAACTAAAATAATACAAATAACAGCCATCATAAATATAAAGAAAATCATTGTACGTCTTATGTGAACAGAGTCTTACCTGCAAATGCCCCTGGTACATATTTAGTAGAGAATAAAAATGGTCCCGGTCTATGGATCACAGCTAGATGAGCAGAAATATAATGACACACTTCTAATGTTCATGCGTGCGAGAGTGTTCTGAAAGTACTGAAAGAACTGCTCTTTAAATTGAGACCAGTTAGGGAAGCCGACACACTGGAGCTGTCTCGTGAACCAAGTGCTGAATTTACGCGCTCACGATTGCTTTCGTCACCGATGCACTTTATAAGGTGAGGAGGCTTGCAAGCTTCACGCGCGCCGGCGAGTCTCTTCACCAACTTGCTGAGGCGCGCGATGGATGCGCTGATCGCTCGAGAATCCTGGCTACGTCATAATCAAAGACCCGATGTGGCTCTCAGCGTTTTATCTTAGTTGGTCTGATTCTTAAGCAATTCCTCCCTCCTTTAGTTTATCAGACCCCCACCCCTCCTCTCTCTCTCTCTCTCTCTCTCTCTCTCTCTCTCTCTCTCTCTCTCTCTCTGTCTCTCTCTCTCTCTGTCTCTCTCCTTGTCGACTGTTCCCCCTCCTCTCCCCCAACGGATTTAGGCGGAGCCGGTTCCGTCATTCACAGAAGCGTCTCTGCACGAGCAGATGCACAGTCCAGGTGTTTTAATGTTCAGCTGTAGCGACTAAATAACTAAATCGAGTGAATAGCTATCTTGGTCCTCTTCGTGTGATGTTCCTCTTATCTTCTGAGCAAGGAGACGCCACTTGCATTTGTTTTGCTTTTGTTACATAATAGTCACTCAATTTTCAGAGGTGTGATAGTGAAGCAATGTAGCAGGACACATGCTTATTAAAACATGCAAAATAAATGCTTTTTTGCTTATGTTTGTTTTTAAGTAGCCAAAAGATCTTGTTGACTTCACTTAAAAAGTAGGCTAAACAATATGGACAAATTCATATTTCTGCTGATTTTAACAAATTGTATTACATTAAGTGTAGCTAATGTTGATATTATATTAAGTTAGCCTAAATCTAAATACTGATTCATAAAGCTAGAATTGTGTCTTTATTATATGCAAGAAAATAAATGTTCTAAGAGAGAGAAAAAGTTATCACACTGATAGCAAAAAAAGCATTTCATGAGAAAAATAAAAAATAGCAAAAAAAATATATATTTGAGACTAAAAAAGTTTTGAGCGAAAGTGTTTTCCCAGAGAACATACAATATTTGATTTTTTTTTTATTATTATTTCTGGTAAAAAATAAATTATCTGAAAGTACGTAAATATATATTGTTTGCTATCAGTGTGAAAACATTTTCTAAAAAAAAAGTGTTTCTCTCAATACACTTTTATTTGCTCTCCATGCAATTTCTTGCTGTTTCTTGCAATTTCTCAGTACAAAAAATATGGACGACGCCCCTTCGCTCTTTTCCATCGAAGAGAACTGAACCCGCCAATGCGCACTGGCATCTTCGGAATCGAATCTGCGCACGAATCTTGCGTTTTCGGTACCAGACATGCGCAGTCGTGAGCAGGAAGTAAAGCCGCGAAATCAAAGCCCCGTCTTCACTCTCGCGAAATCAATCGCAAGCACATGTCCTCATGTCCAGCACTGTTCTTAATTGGCCTCTATCTGCTCCGTTCCTCTCCAGTGGTGTCTGCTGATTACAATACTTCGATAAAATAAGGTAAATACAACTACTAACCACATAGTCAACGTTATGAAAAAAGTCTGTTGGTGCTTCAGTGACTACTTCACACAGAGAACCTGCCAATCACAGCTGTCAATCATGATGTCACAGCACCGTTTATTTATATTTATAGCATCAAATAACTAACTAAAAAAAAAAACTCTTGAAATTACATCAACGTGATAGACACTACAGTAAATGACTATCTTTGGAAAAAGGATATTTGAAGTGTAATTTAATTGTTCAGTTGGTCTCACGTCCCTTTGAATAACATGGGGAGGCGGGGTTTATGACCTATACTAGGACCACTGGGGGGCGATCGGGACGTTTTGGCCTCACTTTTGAGGGCTTGTGTGGCACGCTTGGTCAGGATTTAGAGTTCACTGTGAACAATGTGTCATGGGCGGGGCCAAGTTCCTATTGGCCAATCGGGTGAGCATCGTCTTGTCTTGGGGACGACATAACTGTAATTGTGACCCCGAGCCCAATTTAAAGCTGCAGTAGGTAACTTTTGTAAACAAATATTTGTTTAAATACATATTTGTTAAAACTGACATTATGTTCTGATAGTAGACTATGAGACAGATAATCTGTGAAAAACAGATTCCATGTATAAAGCGGCAGTGCGGCATAGAGGGCTGGCTTTGAATTACAGCGAGCCACCCAAGAAGTCTCTGAACTTCAATTAGTTCATGGATTCACCATAGACTGTGAAAAAATATGGACAAAGCGTCTGTTTATGAAGAACGGGTTTGAGGCTGTTTATGGGGGGTATGGGCAGCGCCATACTGGAAAATATTGGGAAATAAAAATGTTCAGAAAGGATACGGTATGATGTATTGTGCTTGTGTCAGATCATGGCCAAGACGTCAAATTCACTCGGCGCAGCCCGTTATCAGCTGTCAATCGTTAACCGCCCTTATTTGTCATTTATTTTATATCTAAATATGATCTAAACTAACGAGTTACAAAAAAAATCATCCCCCTCACAGTTGTCAGGCACTCGGAACCTATGGAAAAATAGAATAAAAGTCCATGGGACGAAACTGTAGACATGTCAATTTATACTGTGAAAACGGACATTTTAACATGACGTCTATGGATATTTGTTCCCTTTTGGGACTGGCCTCTAGCGGATTTGAGATGTATTGCAGTTTTTCGCACTTACGGGTAGGCTTCATTTTTCCGATTAGAATGTTGCCGCTAGGGAAAAAAAAAAAAAAAAATGTTTTGGGATTCACGTAGATGCCGTGTCATAATCATCGATGATCTAACGCCTAAAAACGGCAGTGCGAGAAGCATGTAACATCAGTCAGCACCAACAGAAGAACGTCACTCAGGTAAGCATTAGCATAGCAAACGAGCTAAGCCAGTTTGATATGATACGTAACTGATTAATGTGGTAGGATTTGACTGAACGTAACACTTAGAATTACCGGTATCTTAAACCTGTTAACCGTTGTCAGTGCGTTGGCGCACTGAAGCGTTTTTTTTTTTATAATTCAAAGTTACTATAAGAGATTCAATGTTATTACCTTGACAAACTATACATCATTAAAAAGGTATAATACTCACATCTCAGTATTTGACCACTATTGTATTCTGAGAAATTTATATTGACAGACAGTTATGTCTTAATTTGCCATGCCCTCAGGTACTGCGTGAGATAGAAGGGTAATGTTAGATGTCTCGCCCGGTAACCATTTCTTGTGGGCTCCTCCCTTCCACCGCAGCTGTGTGAGCCCCCCGTGGAGTGTGCTGGTCCATCTGTAATGGTTTTACCCGGGGTTCCCCCCTAGAGGACAGGAGGCCGATTGCAGCATCGGAGGCTGAGCTGGCCTCTAGAGATGATGACTCGACTGTGTTGTCTTCCTCTAGGAGAATAATGTTACCCGAGCGGATTCGGAATCATCAGCTATGCTTAAGCGGGCCGCCCAGGATGTCGGGCTCGAGTGGAACCCTCCACCGTGTCCTGTGCTTGTTCTCAGCCCGCCGCCCCAATACTCTTCTTTCCCGAAGTGCATGGAGAGCTTACTAGGTCATGGACGGCACCTTCTACTGCCGAGTGGTTCTTACCCCCTCGCTACCCTTGATGGAGAAGCAGTGAAGGGTTATGAGGGTTATCCCTCCAGTGAAGCGGTCTGTTGCGTCCCACTTGTTGCCAACGGCTGTTGCATTTTGAACGTGGGATCCTTGTCTCCCCTCGCAGGCCTGTGAGCTCGCATCAGGCTTGACGGTCAGAGCTTACAAATCTTGCGGGCAAGCCGCTTCCTTTTTGCATGCCATGGCATTGTTGCAGGTCTACCAGGCCAACACACTCATGGACATGCACAAGGGTAGTCTAGATCTTGTGCTCTGACCTCACCCTGCGGGCAAGTTCTTCAGATGATTACCATTCTGCCACTGGCTCCCCGGAGTCCAGTAGTACCCGAATTGTCAGAACAATAAATTCCTCCATCCCTGGCTCCCAAGAGGACGAGGCTGGCCGTGCGATGGAAACAGAAACTTGGGAACAGCCTTGCAACCCTCAGCCCCCTCTTGTTTGCCAGCCAGCAGCACAAAGCATTTGAGGACCTGGTCATCCGCCTTCTCACAAATCCTCCACCTCGCTGCCCCACCCCGGGTACGTCTGGGGTGCCTTTGGTCCCCCTGGTCTGGTTTGTTGAAGCCTGAAAAGTGCTTTCCAACCGGTCCAGTTGGCTCCTCCATACCATCAGGCTCAGCTATACGATTCAGTTCCGCACAAGCACAGCAGCGTTTGCCACACTTTGAGGTCAAGCAAATCTGCTCTTGCCATGCACGCGGAAATCATTGTCCTGCTGGCAAAAGACGCGATAGAGGTGGTGTCAGTAGCCGATATGAAGACCGGCTTCTACAGCCCGTACTTCATTGTGCCCAAAAAAGGTGGTGGGTTACGGCCAATCTTGGACCTGCGTATCTTTAACTGGGCCCATTCAGGATACTAATGCAAAGGCACATTTTCCAATGCATCCGTCCCCAAGATTGGTTTGCAGAGATCGACCTGAAGGACGCGTACTTTCTTGTCTCCATCCTACCATGGGCCATTCCTGCAGGCCATTCCTGCGTATCGCGTTTGAGGGTTGGGCATATCAGTACAAAGTCCTACCCTTCAAGCTGGCCCCGTCACCCCGCATCTTTACGAAGGTTGTGGAGGCAGCCATCGCTCCCATGAGAGAGCGCGGCGTTCACATCGTCAACTATCTCGACGACTGGCTGATACTAGTGAAGTCGGGAGCAGTTGTGTGAACACAGGGATTTGCTGCTCAAGCATTGTCAGCCAGTTGGTGCCAAAGGTGCTATAACAAAGTATTTAGCAAAGGCTGTGAATACTTATGTACATGTGTTTTTTTAAAGATTTCAAACAAACGTCTTGTTTGTAGAATTTTCAGGAAAATAATGAATTGAATCCATTTTGATAAAACGTGTAAAAAGTGAAGTGCTCTGAATACTTTCCGGATGCACTGTATGCCATTCTAAAGTATATTGTTTGGTGGAAAAAATGCTGTATTGTTGTTACTACAAATTAATCTCTTTCGGATTATGCTAAAATGTAGTTGCTGAGGCATGGTACAAACATGTTAAAGAGCACCTATCATGGATTTTTGAAAATGACTGTTCATGTAGTGTGGACTATAGCTCTAAGGGAATGAAAACATCCTGCAAAGATTTATATCTGAAAGTGCACCGTATATAAAGTTATTGTCTTTCAAAAGTGAGAGTCGACTCTGAG